CCTAAACCCTAAACCCTTATAGAAACCTGGCACCTCTGGGGATGCTGCTAGGGTCTAGGGCTTAGGGTTTTAGAGTTAAGGATTTCAGAGTTTTAGGGTTTTAGACTTAAGGGTTTTAGGGTTCCAGGCTTTCAGACTGAAGGATTTTGTTTTTTTAGTGTGTTTTTTAGGGTTCGGGGTTTAGGGTTTTGGGGTTGAGGGTTTAGGGTTAAGGGCCTAATACAAAAAATCACGCATGACCCCAATATACTCTAGTAGCATAATTCCCAAGGTATAAGGTGCTTAGGGTCATGCGGGATCTGTAAGTATCCACCGTAGTATCCAAGTTGCCCAAGGTAGGTATCATTTGCGCGACTGTCAATGCTAGCCTTATCAAGGGACCACTAAGGGTGGACAAAGGGCCCCTCTTGTAGTTTAGTATAGTCCTCCATATAGTCCCTCATAAGGAACCCATGTTGGTTTAATTATGTATTATGTAGGAAATATTAGCTGTAGCTCATCTATAGAACTTGGGGCCCAGAACAGGTAGACTTGGATTTCCAGGGGTACGAGGAAACTCGAGGAAAATCAAGGCGGTCCTGTTACTGCTGCATTGAACAAGTTAAGACCTGCTCCCAGGCTATGACTCTAGACTCTAAGCAAAAGCAAGGGGGTTTGCGTCAAGTAACCTAGAGCCATTAGAACTGCTGGGGAATGTATGAGCCATAGTCTAAACTCCTCAAAGGAGGCTATGTAGGGGATTAGATAGGGGAGTATCATAGGGGGGCCTATTAAGGGGGATACTAGGAGTTTAGACTATAGCTCATATAGGTTATCGACGGGTGGGGGGGGGGCGGCATGCTGACACATTTTCAGGGGTATTCTGGGTTTCAGGGTCTACTTAGAGTAACTTAGACTCCTGGAAAAAGATAAATATACCGACACATTCGGTTCAAGCCCTTTTTTTGGATATATGGCTTACACTAGGTACACTAGGTACTTAATTTGGGGTATATCGCTTACAGTACACTAGGTACGCATTTTAAATAGTGCTGCCGAGGAGTTCTTCTTCCCTTTTGGCCTGCCTGCGCTTTGAACGGCAGCATTGTGAACTCGCGTGGGGGCCGCTTGGGTGCAAATAGTCATTTGTGGGTTCCCAAAATTAGGGTCCCATGCTGGTACCCCTGAACATTAGGTGTCGTAGTACGACACATACCCAATAAAGGGGTCCATAATTTTGGGAACGGGGTCCATCATTTTAGGAATCATCCATGTGAAGGTAACATGGGGGCCTTGACCTTCCCTGAGAACAAGGCCCTATCATGGACAGCTGCCAGAGTGCATTGGCAATTGTCGCTGCCCAGTAGCAGTTGGAAGATAGATACCACATGAATATATGTCAACCTTGTAAGATGGCCAGTATTACATACTGGTGCTGGGCAAGGGCAGTCCCAGAAACGGGGACAGTTTTCTGAAACTGCCATGCAACATTATGACATTTGCGTCAGCTGCCACACCCACGTACTCTGTGCAGATGGCACCCGAGCTCCAGCAGTCTCATCTTGTCCATAGGTTTTGATGCCCAACGTGGGTATTACTCAAAAGCTTGGATTCCCAACTTCAACGCTGAAGTTTAACATTCTGTCGCTTGCATGTAGCTACCTGACACGCGCAGACGCTGGGTGCTTGGACGGCGCGTCTCTTTGCAATCTATTGCCCAAGAACCCCTCTGCATTCTCCAGCATATTGTACTTGTGCTCTAGCCATGAAACGAACCATGTGGGGTTTGCTGGCCCTCTTGGCCGCGCCGGCTGCAGCAGCGGACGCTCGCCGCAGCTGCGAGTGCGAGGGCATCGATGATTGGAACGACCCAGCTTTCTCCAGGTGCGACTGGTGGGGCGACGTCCACATCACGGACAGCTGGCGATCTCCCAGTGTCTTCGACTTCCAGGGCTACGGTGTCTACAGCTTTGCTTCCTCCACCGAGTGCGGCGGGGACTTCGAGCTGCAGATCTTCCAGTGCCCGTACAGCAAGAACAGCAACGCGGTGGCCATTGGCGTCGCGATGAAGGTGAACGATGGGGACGTGGTGGTGATCGCCAACGACACGGTGTCCAACCCCGATGGCGCCAGCGTCGTCCCGCCCACGTTTGAGAGCCTCAAGAAGGGTGTCAGCATTGTCAGTGATGACAAGTGCGTGCGCCTCAACGTCAACACCAAGCTCCTCAGGAGGGCACCACGCTTGTTGCACAACGGGAACTTGCGTGTGATCAGCCATGCTACAACCAGCGAGGGCATTTGTGGAGCTCCCACCTTCGGCGGCTCCTACATTGCCCCAGGCGAGGACATGCTCTTCCCTGATGCGACATTCCAGGAGATGTGCTCGTTCTGTGAGTCCGAGACCGGCGTCTCTGTCCCAGGATGTGGCCCTCCTCAAAACCCTCAACAGCCAGAGATTGAGCCGGGTTGCG